ATAACTCTAACACAGAGAAATCCTTATAAAAGATTCAAAATCCAAACGTAGTGAAAGGAAATGTTGAAAATGTGAAAGCTTTTGCATGGCAAAAAAGCATTATGAATCTACAAAAAAAGATATTAGAGCTAATGAATGAGTTCAGCAGGGTTGCAGCATGCAACCATTTGTATTTCTACACACTACAAATGAACAGTAGGGAGAAGAAATTAAGAGGAAAAAAAAAAACACTTTTGTTTCTAAGAGCATCAAAAGAAAAAAATACCTGGGAATAAATCTCCCAAAAGGAGTATAAAACTTATACTACAAAACATAGTTGAAAGAAACTAGGGAAGAACTAAATAAATAAAGGTATCTTATTTTCATGTATTGAAAGCCTTAATATTGTGATGATATCAATACTTTCCAGTTGAAATAGAGACTCATTGTTTTTTTTTCCCAGAAATTGATAAGCTTAACCTAAAATTCATATAAAAATGTAAGGAAGCCAGAATAGCCAAAACAATCTTAAAAAGGAATAAAGAAGTTGGAGATGTCATACTTATGGATTTCAAAACTTACCATAAAACTTGTACATGAATGTTCATAGTAGCATTATTTATAATATAATATCCATAAACTTACCACAAAACAACATTGATTGAGAGTGTGGTGCTGGCATAAGGATAGACATATGGATCAATGAAATAGAATCAAAAGTCCAAAAGTAAACCCTTACATTTATGGTCAATTGGTTTTGACACAGGTCCCAAGGTAATTCAGTGGTGAAAAGATAGTCCTTTTAATAAATTATTCTGGAACAACTGAATATTCACATGCAAAAGAATGAAGTTGGAGCCCTACATTATATCCTATAAAAAATTAACTCAAAATGGATCCAAGACTTAAATGTAAAAACGGAAACTATAAAACTCTTAGAGGGAAACAGATACAAGCCTTCATGAACTTGGATTAAGCGATGGTTTCTTAGACATGAGGCTGAAAGCACAAGCAACAAAAGAAAAAAAGGATAAATTTGACTTCAATTAAAAAAAAAAAAAACTTTTGTGCTTCAGAGGATGCGATCAAGAAAGTGAGAAGACAACCCACAGGATGGGAGAAAATATTTACACATCATGTATCTGATAAGGGTCTAGTATCTAATATCCTATATGAAGGACTCTTGTAAGTCAACAATAAAAAGACAACCCTATTTAAAAAATGGGCAAAGGATTTGGATAGACATTTCTCCAAAGATGGACACATGGTCACATGCATATACACAGAGGCAGAACATCATGAGTCAATAGAGAAATTCAAATCAAAAGCATAGTGGAATACCACTCCACATTCACCAGGATGGTTGAAATAAAAAGGACAGATACTAATGCGTATTGGTGAGGTTGTGAAAAAGGTAGAACTCTAAGGCATTGCTGATGGGAATATCAGATGCCCGATGCCGGACTTCTCCGCCTCCTTCACTCCCCCAACTCCTAAACCCACTGTTTCTACTCTCTATGCATCTCTCAAGTCTTTCCACGTTCTTTATCCCCATGACAACACCTGAGTCCAAGTGTCATCATCCCCTACCTGGTCTGCTGCGGCCGTCTCCTGATACCTCCCTGATTACTTCTCTGTCATCCAGTCCGTTCTCCATACTGCGGAGCGACCCTTCTAGACTGATAATCTCATGATGTCGGTCTCCTTGCTTGAAAACCCTTAACTCCCCTTAGGATGAAGCTCAAATTCCTTAGCATGACTTTCAAAACCCTACTTGAATGATAGCGAACTACCACCTTCACCATCCCCACTGCCCAGGCAGAGGGAACTTGGTTCGGTTCCCTGAAGTCAAGCTACATCTCACTTTCAGACTTTTGCACATGCTCTTCCCTCTGCCTGGGCTGGTCTTCCTCACCTCTTAGTACTTTGTGAAATAGGTATCTATAATTAACAACTCAGGAAACAACAGATGTTGCTGAGGATGTGGAGAAAGGGGAACCCTCTTAACACTGTTGGTGGTGTTGGAAACTGGTGCAGCTACTCTGGAAAACACTATGGGGTTTCCTCAAAGTTAAAAATAGAGCTACCCTATGACCCAGCAATTGCACTACTAGGTACTTATCCAAAGGATACAAAAATAGTGATTCAAAGGGGTACCTGCACCTCGATGTTTACAGCAGCAATGTCCACAGTAGCCAAACCATGGAAAGAGCCAAGATGTCCATCGACAGATGAATGGATAAAGAAGATGTAGGGTATTTATACAATGGAATATGACTCAGCCACCAAAAAGCATGAAATCTTGCCATTTGCAACGATATGGATGGAACTAGAGGGTATTAGGCTAAGTGAAATAAGTCATTCAGAGAAAGACAAATACCATATGATTTCACTGATATGTGGAATTTAAGAAACAAAACAGATGAACATAGAGGAAGGGAAGAAAAAATAAAATAAGATAAAAACAGAAAGGGAGACAAACCATAAGAGACTCTGAACTCTAGGAAACAAACTGAGGATTGCTGGAGGGGAGGTGGCTGGGGGGATGGGGTAACTGGGTGATGGGGATTAAGGAGGACATGTGATGTAATGAGCACTGGGTGTTACATGCAACTGATGAATCACTAAATTCTACCCCAGAAACTAATAATATACTGTGTGTTAAAAATTGAATTTAAATTACAAAATTAAAAAAAACAGGTACCTATGTTTATGACCTTTGCTTCCTCACATCTCACTCACCACACAATCTGGTTTCTGCCTCTTCACTGCCCCAGTGTTTCCCTTGACCAAGTCATCAAGGAAAGAAAAAGAAAAAGGAAAGGAAAGAGGGGAATTTTTAAAATTCTGTGTAGCACTATGTATCAGGCACTGTGCTAAGCACTTTATGAATACTCATTCATTTATTCTCCCAACAGCTCTGTGTCCTTCATAACAGCAAAAAGTATCAAAAGACATAGAAGATACCACTTTCACTTTTACTCATGTTTTTCTGCCAAATTCTTCTCTGCTTTCTTTGCCAGGTTACCCTTCTTGACTTGACCAATGAACACTGAAGTTACTTAAGGCTCTGTCATGTCCTTTTCTCTTCTGACTCAATAAACCCCCCTGGTGATCTCATCCTCTCCCAAGGCGACCACTGCATATAAGTAGATGACTTCCTGACCTTTTTCTGAGCTCTAGTCCTGATTATCTAACTGACATTTCCACCTGTATGGGCATCTCAGACCCGCCATTGAAACCTGAGCTCACCAGCTCTCCATCACCCGTCAACACCTGCTCCCCAACCACCACTGTACCTGGCACAAACATTCATGCAGTTGTTCAGACCAGAAACCCAGGAGTCATCACTGATTCTTCCCCATTCCCTCTTTTCCCCACATCCAATCTATCTCCATACCTCATCAATTCTACCCACCTGCTTTGCTTCATCCCTACTATCATCATCCTTGTCCAAGGCATCATCACCTTTAGCCTTTGCTATTTCAGTAGTCTCCTAACTGGTCTCCCTACTTCCACTGTTGGCACATTTTCCCTGGTCCATTCTCTTACAAAGCAGCTAGAAAAATCTTTCTAAAAACAACTGGGTTTGAATCTGGGCTATGCCATTTATTGGCATCGATCGTACTCCTAGGCATATCACTCAACCTTTCTAATTCTTGACTTCCTTATCTATAAACTGGACATAATACTATGTCACAGGGTGACAGTAATTAAGAGAGATAATCCAGATAGAGTGACAGAATGGGACATTCTAAAAACTATGCATGGGCGTATACACGGTCCGACAATTTTAAAAAGAAAGAGCAATCCAGGGGCGCCTGGGTGGCTCAGTCATTAAGCGTCTCCTTCGGCTCAGGTCATGGTCCCAAGGTCCTAGGATCAAGCCCCGCATTGGGCTCCCTGCTCGGTGGGAAGCCTGCTTCTCCCTCTCCCGCTCCCCCTTCTTGTGTTCCCTCTCTCGCTATGTCTCTGTCAAATAAATAAATAAAATCTTTAAAAAAAAAAAAAGAAAGAAAGAGCAATCCAGAACTCTTAGTCCCATGTCATTTCATCTCATTTGAAATAACAAGAATGAGTTCAATCTATATTTTACAGTTTTAACAGGGAAAAATTCAGACAAAACAATTTAAAATGTGCTCTTAGCAAATGCTGCAATACAAAACATCAAACTCACCGTGATGGTTAATTTTATGTGTCATCTTGGCAAGGCCATGGTGCCCGGTTTTTAGGTCAAACACTAGTTTAGATGTTTCTGTGAATGTATTTTGTAGTTGTGATTAACATTTACAATCAGACTTGGAGTAAAGGAGACTGCCCTCAGTAATGTGGGTGGGCCTTAGCCAATCAGTTGAAGGCCAAAAGAGCAAAAAGCCGAGGTTTTGTGGAGAAGAAGGAATTCTGTCTCCAGACTATAATACAGAGATCCTGCCTGAGTTTTCAGCTGGCCTGCCTACCCTATGGATTTCAGACTTGTGCGCCCCCATAGCTGTGTCAGCCAATTCCCTAAAATCAATCCCTCTCTCTCTTTCTCTCTATATATCCTATTGCTTCTGTCTCTCTGGAGAACCCTGACTGACACACTCACAGAGGACTCCTATGATGATAAAGTAGATCAGCAGCTAACAAATGACAACTCTAAGTGGCTTCAAGTGAAGATTTTAGAGTATAGTAGAAAAGAAACCTAATCAGTTTGATAACATAAGCTCTAAATGGATAAACATGAAAAGATAAAGAGCTTCAGAAAATAAAACTTGAATCATGCCACTAACATGAGAAAAGCTGTCTTCAGGGAGTCTCGGGCTATCTGAGGACATGCACCTGGTAACAGAGGACCCCTATCCCATACTCATCCACTCGGACATCTATAGGAAGATGTTTATTGAACATCTACTCCCGGCCAAGTGTTCTTATCCAGAGCAAATAACAAAACCAGGCATTCTCAGAGCTGCTATTCCACTTGTATCTATGAAAAGCACTGGGTCCAGAAGAGCGTTGGGGGCCAGCATATTGCAGCTTACCTGTAGAAAATGGTTGATAGATGCGTCATGAAGTCCCAGGGCTTGCTCAACACCTGCTAATTCCCTCAATATTGGTACACACTCGAGACTTTTTTCACCTCTACTGATCTCAATATATTCTAAAGCCTCTTGGTAGTGGGGCAGAGCTTCTTTTGGTTTCTTCTGACTTTGATATATCCTAAAAAAAAAAAAATCAAAGAGATTATTTCTTAAATAATTAGAAAACATATAGGTGGGAAAATATATAGGTCTGGTGGTTAGGATTTGGCTCTCTGACCCCTGTTGTCCAGGTTCACTTCCTAGCCAGCTAGGTTTTTGTTTCCTCCAAAGAGGCAGCAGGGCATGATGATCAAGTGGATAGACTTTAGAATAATGAGGAAGTTTTGAATCCTGGCTCCACTAGCTACCAGATGTGTGAATTTCCAGTTGCTTCACAGCTTTCTCATCTCTAAATTAAGAATAATAACAGTGCCTACTTTATTGGGTTACAATGAAGATTAAATTAATTAATACTCATAAAAACACCTAGAACAGTCTCTGACACATAGTAAGTGCTACGTAGGTATTGGTTTAAAGAACATAAAATACTTTAACAAACAATAATAGCAACCACACAGGATGCCGAGATGCTGATAACTGATCTGTTGAGAAATTATAGAAATTTCCCAGTATTGGTGAGGGTATAAAGCACTCTCATGAACTGTAAGAATATAATTTGAACATAAACTTTTCTATATCAAAATTATACATATATAAGTACACACATATTTCTGCTAGTGGCACTTTATTAGTTTATCATAAAGAGATACTCTGGCAGGACAAGAAGATATGTACAAGAATGTTTACCTAAGCACTCTTTGTAATAGTGGAAAAGTACAAAGCACTTAAAATACACAAATAGGAGATCATCAAGCAGATTACAGTAAGTACATCTATACTGTGGAATGCCACATAGCCCTTAAAGTTAATGTTGATCCAGATTTACCAACATAGAAGTATAAAAGGCAGAATACAAAAATGCTTTGTATAGTATCTCATGCTGGTGAAAATGTTACATTTAATCTATATATACACATATGCATCAAGAGCTATCTAAATGAACAGTAAAATGTGAGCAATAGTTATCTTTAAGGGGTTGGCTGTGATTTTATTTTCCATTTATGCTTTCTAAATTTCCCATTTTTTTCTATAAAATGATATTACTTTGACATTAGAAAAATGTTAATTTAAAAATTGTAAGTTAAGGTGGCGGGGCAAAGGTTCTTGTCGCTTTTCAGGATAAAATGCTGTCACATTAAAAAATATATCGCTTTATTTTATTCAGAAAACATAACAGCAGACATTTAAAAACAATCTTCTCTAAAATATTTGTTAAGAAATAGAAACATTTTCTTGCATGGAAAAACTTTATACATAAAATTCATCATGAAAGGTTACCAACCCTTTCTATTGTTACCCTTTACTCTAGAATCTTTACTACAAAAAGGTCTTATAATTCCCATCTGCACATCAGTAAACAGAGACATAATGTGAGAAAGTAACTAGGAAACCACAAAAAAAGAGGTCTCATTTGCAACTCAGTCACTGGAATTTTTTCACAACCATTTTTGTTCTCTAATAAATTTCAAAGGAATTGATTGATAGAAGTAAAGATGTTCTTCAGATCTGTGGTTCAGATGGCCACAGTGAAATAAAATCCTGACTGGACAGCTTATGAACTGGGATACCTTCTCCAATCGGAAAGAGGTTTAAAACATGGGCAGCGGTCAGGGATATGTTCCTGGACCAAACAGGGTCCAGGTTGCAGCTTGCAGCAACTCTTCATCTTAGAAAGGAAGAGATAAATAGGTGACTGAGTAATGCCGGACTTGCTTTCTGATTCTTACCGAGCTTTGGATGTTGTGAGTAATAATTAGCTTTGTAAGTATCATATTTTATTTTTGAAGAGAAAATCCACTAGCATCTTGAGGTGATAGAAAGAGGCTTTGAAACATATGGCTGATAACAAATCACTCAGGCAAAAATTAGTTTCTGGTAGACAAATGTTTCAGAACAATTGAAAACAGGAGTCAGCAAACCATGGCCTGTACACCAAATATGCTCACTGTCTATTTTTGTAAATAAAGTTTTATTCGCACACAGCCATGCCCACTTGTTTACGAATTGTCTCTGGCTGCTTTTGCACCAATGGCAGAGTTGTGTAGTTGCAAGACACCTACAAAGTCTGAAATATTTACTGTCTGGGCCTTTACAGAAGAAGTTTACTAACCTCTGGTCTAGAATCTAGAGAAAGCTACATACTTTCAAAATGACCTCAGATTTTTTTCTGTCTAATTTAGCCTAGAGAACTCCAACAATGCCACAAATATTTGAGCAAAGGAAAAAAAATCATCTTCCTTTCTCGGGTACATAAATGATGAAGCCTGTGCCAAGGAAATAACAGGTCTTTTGTTTGCAAGGCCGCTGTAAAAATCATAGAAGGGTAATAGAGCAAATACAAATGTCAAGATGACTTCATTTGAGGAACAGCTTTAAAAGAAAGCAATATTCAAAGCTTAGTAATCAAGCTTATAAATGAAAAAAAGTAAACAATAACAAGACATAAGTTAATTCATATAATAACAATTGTTCCTTTCCTGAGATAGAGCATGAAAGAAAAGCATTTGAGAGTTTGTAATGGTGGAAAACAGGGACAACTTGTAGCCATTTACCTACTCTTAGCCAAAAGCATGGCATATTGCTCCAGGTTGACACACTTTTTCAGGTATCAGAAAGTCATCCTTCAGATACCTGACCCTTGGAGACAATTTTATAAAAAGAAGAACCCAGGATGAGAGGCAGGACCATCAGTTACAAGTACTGCAGCAGGAGTAGAAAACCCAAACTGTAGGTTTTTTTGTTTTTAGGAGAGAGAGAGAGAGTGCAAGCCGCAGAGGGAGACACAGAGAGAAAATTCTAGCAGGCTGCATGCCCAGTGTGGAGGCTGATGCAGGGCTCGATCTCATGAGTCGGATGTTCAACCAACTGAGCTACCCAGATGCCCCCCCAAACTGTAGTTGGAGCATCCTTACAGACAAGACTGTACAACCTTGGGCAAAAGCATAATGTCTCTGACCCTTGGTGTCCAATACAGTTGATGTAGAACCAAGGAAGATGTCTGAAATGATTTGCAAACTGAGGCAAGTCATACAGATTGGTATTAAGTGCCTATACGTCATCATACCTTTTACCCCTTCCCCTCCCAACCACTGGTCTACATGGAACTGAGTGCTACAGCTTCAGGTTGGGTTCTTCTTTTGAAATGGGCTCCACTGTGGTTTCATACTCACCACATAAGATTTTGGAAAGTCCAAATAATAAGCATAATCAGTCAAACTCATGTGCCAGCTGAGCTTTTAAAGAATTTGAGAATAATTTATTATAGGAATAATACATATTCATCATTAAAAGAAAAGATACAGAAATTTATATATATATATATATATATATATAATTGCAACAACCAAAGATGAGTACTGCACACCTTGATATATATGCTTTCAGATGATTTTCTATGAATATTTTTTTAAATGGATCATAATGTTTGAGAACCTGCTTCTTTCACTTAATCATATAACAAAATGTGGCAATGAATGCTATCACATCACTTTTAGTGGCTGAGTGGTGTCACGTCAGATTTAATTGACCACTCATCTTCAAAAATAGTATTAGTTAGGAAGTTTAAAAAATGTTTTGTGGAAAATTTTTACCAATCATATTTCTGATGAGGGACTTACATCCAGAATATATAAACAACTCTTGCAACATAATAAAAAGACAACGCAATTTAAATATGAATAAAGTTTCTAAGTAGTCATTTTTCCATAGAAGATATACAAATGGTCAATAAGCACATAAGAAGATGTTCATCATCATTAATCATCAAGGAGATACACATCGAAACTACAGTGAGGTACTACTTCATACCCACTAGGACAGTGGCTGTAATAATGATAAAGAAAGATAGTAACAAGTGTTGGCAAGGATGTGGGAAAACTGGAACCTTATGTACTGCTGGTGGGAATATAAAATGGTGCAGCTACTTTGGAAAATAGGAGCAGTTCCTCAAAAGTTTAAACATAGAATTACAGTATGACCCATTAATTCCACTCCTATGTGTATGTCCCCCCAAATGAAGACATGTATCCACATAAAAACTTGTACACAATGTTCATAACAGTACTATTCATAAGAGTCAAAAAGCCCAAACAACCCAAACCTCCCCGAAGGAATGTTCATTCTGAGCAATGAGTAAATAAAATCTGGTATATCCATACAATGGAATATTGCTCAGTCATCAAAAGGAAGTACTGATACATGTTAAAGTATGGATGAACCTTGAAAAAAGTATGCCAAAGGAAAAAGGGCAGTTACAAATAACCTAATCTTATACCTAAAGGAGCTACAAAAAGAACAACAAATAAAACTTAAAACCAGCAGAAGGACGGAAACAAGATGAGAGCAGAAATAAATGATGCAGAAACTAAAAAAACAACAGAACAAATCAATGAGACCAGGACCTGGTTCTTTGAAAAAAATCAATAAAATTGATAAACCTCTAGCCAGACTTACCAAGAAAAAAAGAGAAAGGACTTGAATAAATAAAATTACAATTGAGCGAGAAGAAATAACCAACACCACAGAAATACAAACAATTATAAGAGAATATTATGGAAAACTATATGCCAAGAAACTGGACAACCTAGAAGAAATGGATAAATTCCTAGAAACATATAAACTACTGAAACTGAAATGGGAAGAAATAGAAAACTTGAACAGACCCATAACCAGGAATGAAACTGAATCGGTAATCAAAAAACTCCCAACAAACAGAAGTCCAGGACCAGATGGCTTCACAGGGGAATTCTACCAAACATTTAAAGAACAGTTAATACCTATTCTTCTCAAACTATTCCAAAAGTTAGGAAAACTTCCAAATTCATTCTCTGAGGCCAGCATTGCCCTGATACCAAAACCAGACAGAAGACTCCACTAAAAAAGAGAACTATAGGCCAATATCCCTGATGAACACAGATGCAAAAATCCTCAACAAAATACTAGCAAACCAAATCCAACAACACATTAAAAAATCATTCACCACAATCAAGTAGGATTTATTCCTGAGCTGTAAGGTGGTTC